TATTCTTCTTATTCATGAGAACGTATTTCGATTTAAAATATTTAATAACTTATAAAATATGTGTAATGCGCCTATACTTTTGCAATTATCATATTCGGTATTTCAAGACTTTTTATTACTATTATTCGCAAGACAGCCTTTAAATCGTCTGTTGAAAAATGAACTCGTAAGATTCACATTCTATATAGAAAACGTATAATGATAGATTTTAAATGAAAAGACGTGCCGAATGTTAAGACAAGTTAGAAACGAAATTTTTCGATTCAAATAATCAGCATGTTTGTAAACGAAACGAAAAAGTTCATGAAGGATATAGAAGGTGATTCTGTGATGAACACAGAAATGATTAGGAAGCGAAATAACTTAATAAACTGCAGTGTATGTAATATAAAATTTTCTTTTATATACCACGAGAAGCTTTAAAAAATCATACGATTTATTTTAATGCGATAGAAATGAAGACGTTCAGAAATAAGCTAAAAGTAAGAAACAATATTCTCAAATAGCCTTAATATCTGATCAGAAATATAAAGTGTAATTATGATTAACTAAATTAAAAATATAAATAGGATTGTTCATTTTTTAAAGTTTATATTACTCGATGAGACTTTTTACTTTTAAAGTTTAATAACAACAATTCTTTATATTGCTATCATAATAGGATGATTTAACTGTGGCCTTGAAGTGTATAAATATGTTTTAAACATTTCGTTGAATAATTTTCTTTCCTTCAATATTTTTAATCAAGTGCCTGTTTAGGATGAAGAATATTTTGTGTGTTTAAAAAAAATGGTTCAAGTTGTGAATACTTCCATAAATCTTAGGCGCTGAAAGTGAACCATAAACATATTCCATGAATATTTAATGTATCTGAAATAACGTTGTTTTCGCAAAATATGTAAAACGATAATAGGCAATGTAAAGAGAAAAATACGTGTTTCTGCGAAAATTTGTTCATGAGACCCTATGTATTAAAAATAAAATAAATATATCGGAAGATAAATTTTATTTTTAACTTGAAGTTAAAATGCAGTTTTTAAAAATGAAAACAATATAAATTAGGAATGCTATATCTATTACTATTTTTAGCTATATTTATAGTTAGCAATCAAAAATGTGTTAACACAGACATCTGAGAGTTATAATTATTTATATAAAGTACCATTTTGTTTTAATCTGGTGCATTTAAACTGCTAAATTTTAGTGTAAGTTGCCCTCAAATAGTTTCTCTGAGTATGTTCAAGTAAGATTCCAGTCTCTTTCATAAGATTTAACAATAGTGTAAAATTTCGAGAGAACTCTAATAGGAAAACAAACATGCCACTGTGAAATTCAAAATTACAAATACAGACAATTTTGTATGGAACAAATTTTAAATAAATTTTATCAGTTTCGAAATCGAACAGACCCAGTTCCCTCTTTTTTAGGAGCAAAAGAAGTTTTTTTGCTGTTCACAAACTGTGTATTCCTGTAAATGCCTTTCGAAGCTATCAGAAATAAAGTCTAAAATTATCACCTTGTTATCTATATGAAAATTACTAATTATAGATGATACTAATATCTATTTTCTAGCACAGGAATAAAAGGATACATTATCAGAAATTTGATTTTAAAGGAAGAAGAGTGTTTTCATTTTCTACTCATGAATTTTTGCCGTATATGCCATTTATGCACACGAAAATTTGAATGAATGAAAATATTATTTTTTGGACTGTCATGAGGGAGATTCGAACCCGCAACTCTTCATCCAAGGATTTCTAAGCTTTTTCCTGCATAAATCCCTTTTAAAAAAGTGATTAACTTCATCCACCTGCTTATATTTTTCTCTATAATATACAGCCCACAACATAATAATAATACAAATAATTGCACATAAGTAACTTAACGATAACAATTAATCTAATAATAGAAACAAAAGTTTTTGTAAAAAATAGTTAATTAGATTATTTTAAATTTTTCAAATTATTTTTAACTTTTGAAATATAAGAAAATTTTTAGAAAAAAAATCACAGATTCTAATTGCACAAAAATTCGAATTTAATCAGTGTGATGGTTGAGTTTTATGTATTAATGCAGTTGTTTTTTAATATTTGGAGTAAAACTGCTTGAAGTAATTTTTAAATCTCCTTGTTAAAATATTTTCAACCTGTTATTTGTATCCCATAGTAAATTATTGGCTAAAGCCTGCTTCGACTTTCCTAAAGCCTGCTTCGACTAGGTCTGAAGAGGAAAAAGTTAATAATATTGGTTTGGTAATAAGTTCATTTTGGGATATTTCTCTCAGATGTCTTTCAAAACTTAACGTATCCATATGTTTTGAATAAGAGCCTCCTTCAATGCAATCAACTCTTCTTTCAACATAATATCAAGACCAAATTTATCGCAGGTTAGTGGTTCTGTGAGCCATGCTGATACATTCAAATTTTCAGTGTCTTAAAAGTAAACAGTAAAATCTTCTTTTAAATTTTGCAAATGCCTTTTATGTAACAGTTTGTATCCTGAAAAAGTTTTGAGTTCTTCGTATTTCTTTGGTTGTATTTTCTAATGTTCCTGGGTTTTACTTTTTTATGTTGCACTTCTAGCAGAAAGAATTCATGTCTTTGAAAATGTTATTACTGATTTTTAAAATATATTAAACAATTTTTGAGTATTTCCCCCTTATATTTATTTCGTATGAGTTCTACTACATTGTATAACTTTATATAAATAAAAAATTAACTATCCAATGCATTAATAATTTTTTGTAATAATGGGGTATTATCAACTGCAGTGCATATTCGGTTGTCGACCCTTTGATCATCACTGACCTCAAAATGTTTAACGACCTCCAGGGGGTCAACAACGTCCTCGTTGGGAAACCCTGTACTAAGAGAACAGAAAAATGTTCCTGTAACTGCAACTAACTCGTTACTTAACAGAGAGCGGATATTTATAAAGAACTAATTTTGCGTTATTTTTCAAGACTGTTTTCACTGATGAGGTAAATATAGAGAAAAATACAGAAAATTATCTAAAATCAAATAATGTTTCAATACATTTTTGTCTAATGGTTAATAGTTAATAATGAGCGTTTGGTTGCACTTTCTTCTCTGGTAGCTAACTAATGAAAGAAGTCTAAATTCTAAGTAGTAAAGTGATGAAGCAGCGAAGATAGTTGCAGTGCAATGTACATTGTACATAGATCTAGCTGAAGTCAATCTTTGAGAGAAAATAGAAAATAAATGAAGAACAAATTGAACCGTATAGGAAATTAAACAGCATAGAATTCAAACCCTTAACCAGTTTGCCAGCATTGGATAGATGTCGAAGGCTTCAAGCAATCTTACTGAGAAATATTTTAAATGTAAAACTTCTGTTGGAAGAAAAAGAGCTCATAATTTATCTATTACTTATTTTTGGTGGACTCTCAATCACGTATTCAAACTTTCTTCAGTTGAAATTATTGAAATTGCTTCTGCAGTTGATAAACTAGATTTTCAGAAAGCTTTGAGTATATAGAAAATTCTTTTCGTTTTAAAAACTGTTTCGATTCTCGTTCTTGTTGACCACTCTTAACTATGTATTCAAGTTCTACTTTCTTTCTATCCTCAGTGCAGAACGCTAGGCGCTTTTTTTTATTTATATAGTAGAATGCACTGTTTAGTGCTCTACTGAAGTTTCCTCATTTCTTGAATTTACTTTGCAGAACGATCTGTTTTCAGCTTTCAAAAAAGGATCTTAATAGGAAAAAAACGATCTGTTTTCACATATTACAGTTTCCGCTCATGATTCTTTTCCTCCTTCAAAAATTATTGCTGTTTTATAGTCTGTCTTTTCAACTATCGAGGATAATTATAGTTGGTGATTACTAAATTCTAAACTGAAATTGTATTCTAAATGCGTTATAAACAAGATTGAAATCTATAACACAGGATGTAAACGTGTGTAAAGAAAGGTGGAATTAACTGTCGGGACAAAACGCTAACTTTGGATTAATCCTAAATTTTATGTTGGGTGTTAAGAAGTTATATTTACCTCTAACAGAAGCAGTTATAGTTCTATGAAACTTCCTAATCGATAATAATATATCTATCAATAAACTTTATTCTCAAAGAGATTTATTGTAACATTTAAGTTATTTAATTAATAGAAATATAAATTTTCATAACAAATCCCCACGTATTCCACCAACAAACACAGGCGGAAACAGAAAGAGTAAAACAAAAATAAAAAACAAATATAGGGGAGTGGAAATCCAAAAAAAAAATAATAATGCCATTAAATACAACTGAAACGGGAACACCAATAACGAAAACAGAAAAAGAATGAGTTAGAATTTTTTCAAAGAACCAGGCAAGTTAACGAGTAAGATAATAAAGATGCAAATCATAACATCAACCAGCAATAAGAAGATCATTCCGGAAGTATATATACAACAACAGCGGTTGCTCATGAGATTAAAAACAGAGAAAGATAGAGAAGAGACAGAAGATGCAATTGTGATGGTGCACAGGCGTTGCCTCCAAAAACATCGAACACATTCCTTGGGGGGGAGGGTAGTGGGTGTCCACCTATATTGTTTTTTGGGGGATTGGTGGGGGTAATACCTCTCCAGCGTAGCAGGGAAGACGCGGTGTCCGGGTTGAGCTCTCCATCCCACGCCGCGGGTGGCGTGGGCGATGTCATGTCCTCTTCCTCTTCAGGTATGGTGTAAACCTCCCCCGGGCTTCTGTCGTAATAGGGGAGGGTGGAGGTTCCCCCTCCTCCTCCCCCCCGGTTCTCGTCGTCGCTGTCGTATGTATCCTCATCTTCGTCTTCGTCCTCTTCTTCGAGCATGCGCCTTATGCTTGAGGTTCGATCACTGAAACCATCGTTGGTGCTCGTGAGGTCCCCCCTAGGAGGGGAGCTCGAGTCCCCCCACTCATCCTCGTCATCGTCCATAAGGAGGTAGTACTGTGGTTGCCCACCCGCTGCGGAAAGGGAAACTACGTCATCTACGGAGGCTGGGTGGAGGTACTCACGTGACATGGTCTCGTCCTTCCGGTTCTGGTCTCCCGATATCTGTTGGGAACAGAAGAAAAAGTATGGATCAGCAGATGGAAGTTCACTCAGTCAATGTTTCAGAAAATATGTTTAGATATAAAGTTAGGAGAAAAGGAAATGAATTCCCAAGGCATAAAATTTTTCAGAGTATTGAAAAAACTAATTATCTACAGAAACCAGGAGGGAATTCTGGAGGACAGTTCTACAGTAAAAGTATATAACCTTATATATTAAACTTAACTAAGGTGACAAGATATAGAATAGATCAGAGATCAGTTATGAGCTCTCTAAGGCTCTACGTCCACTTCGTTTGGAGTATACGGAAGCCTGCCTGATAAGTGAACGAATGTCAAGACGACTGACTCAATGTCCCTTAGATAGTCTTCCATAAAGGCATCCCTCCTCTTAAGCAGATGACCCTTTTGTGCTTTGCTATATTCAGATAACCTAATCTAACCTAATCCCAGAAGTCCAGTTTCGCAATTTCCGTGAAAGGAAATGGGTTATGAGAAGACATATAATTTTTAAATCCATATAAAATCATCCTACACTTGTTTACTGCTTACCAAATAATAACCAATGTCAGGTAGAGTTTTTCAATTTATTGTCTTTTGGGAAACGGAATAATTTTCATTCTAATAAAAAGAAAGAGAGACTTTTTTTTTTCGTATTTTCTATAAATGCTTGTGTAAATGAAAGGTAGCTTCCAATATAATCATAACTATTCGAAGGGTTTAAATTACTCTCCTAAAGATTTTTTTCACTTAAAATACTCGAATTTTTTTTTTTTTCATTTATAGCGACACTTTATAGTTTGTTAACTTTTGTCAAAGAAAATTATCTTCTGAAAATCCTTGAACCATGTAAATAGCTGTCTGAAGTTCCCCCCTTTATGAATGATTGATTGCTTTCCTCTTTAGTAGGACTTCTTAATGAGCTTGTTAAGGCTAAATTAAATTTAATTTCGGTCTAAGTACCTAATAAATTTTGACAAAGACAGCTGCTTACAATTAAATTCAAAACTACCAATTTTAATAATCAGAGCGTAAAGTAAGTTTAAAAGTGTACTTTTTTTATGTGCAGCAAATCCATTCAGGGACAAAGAAATTTAAAAAAAAATTGCTGAGTAAAATATTGCGCTCTCATATTTTGGCAGTTTTCCCTTAATATTCCCATTTTATTATATGCAAATTAGAATTAAATTTGTTTTTAAATGAAGAGTTTCAGAACGAAAATGCAGAGTTTAGAGATTGCTTGAACAAAAAACAATTTTTTTTTTGTAACAAAAAATGTGTCCCTAAAATGATGTGTTCTTGCTTTCCGTAATATTAAATGTATTTTCTTGAATGTTACGGAATACAAGAAATAATTCAACAATAAAAAAAAAATCCAATTGCAGAAGACGCCCACGGTAGGGAATACTATTTCCCTTCCAGTTCTCCAGACTTCCTCCTTTATGTGTGATTACTCCCAAAGTTTTACTGAATATGCTTACGCGTTGTTGTTTAACAAACTAACGATGTTAACGCAACAGTGAATTATTGCAGTAGTGTATTCCAGCTTTGTAAGAAGCTAGAACGAGTATCGCTTTGATTCTGTCTAACAAGTTGTGAACATAAAAAATTTATAACTTCATAGACCTTTCATCTTTTCCCTATCGTGTGATGTATGCTATAGTTTTATATTGCATAATAGAACAATTATGCGAATACATTTACCTGTCTTTTAAACACCAGTTGCGCATGAAGGATGTAATTTAAGAATGTTTATAAAATGACGCTGCTCGATGAGACATAAAATAAATAAAATGGTACATTTTTCGACTGAAATATTTACTGTTTTGTTAATCGCAAAGCTCAAGGATCAGCAAATTGTTTCCTTTCCCATTGAAGATCTTAGTATTAAGGATTTAACTGCATAAGCTGAATGAGAGACATCTAGAAGAGAAATGTATTCAGTTCTATTGAGGAATTTATTACTGAATATCATTCGCATACCTCAAGCATGAACAGGATATTAACTGCGAAATATTCAGCGTATATTGTAGGATTAAGATAAAAATTTCTTCATTTATCATCAATCTTGAGTATATTTCTCATGGAACGAGATTAATAATAGCTTGCTAGAATAATAATCTTCAATATATTATAAAAATGGCTTAACATGAAAAAGCCCCATAAGGAATTTTTCTGCTGCATGCAGAATTGTTCGTCGTCTTATCTGCATACCGAAATTATTTTCTCAATCATATAAATTTAAGTGATCGTAAAACTGTAACCGAAAAAATACATTCAGATTTTCTTGAATAAAAGTTTCAAATAAAAATACATGAAAATAATCATGATATTTTTTTTAAACTTTGAATAAACGTATAATTAGGGTGTAAGGATTATGTTAATTTTATTAACAGTTAAATTTTGAGTTAAATTTCCTTTCCTATCGATTCTTAACTTCAACTTACCACTTCCGGCCAGAACGTAGTTTTAGAATCACATCTGAATACATAATGAGGAAGAGCAGTATTTAGCCGTGAAGTTCTTCGGTTTTAGTGAGAGAGATAGCAGGAATTGTGGCTGCGCACGTCCGCCTTTTTATGCTACTCTCTCGTAAGCTATTATCACGCTCGGCCGTACTTTAGGCCCTTGATAGCTTCGCAGTCTATTAACGTTAAGGAGCCAACTCTCTTAGAACTTTGATAGCTTCGGATATATCTTTAATTTACATTAATTTAATTCTTAGTCTCTTAAGTTTAAGGCCAAGCGTCGGCTTTATTGTACAACTTCAAGACAGAGTTCTGTCAAATCTTATTTTGAATAATAATAAAGGGTTATTTTATCCCTCCATCTTGTTGTTTCCTGTCACACGAACTCAAGCGATTATTCTCTTACTAGTTCTTAAGATTCTTCACTTTCAACAGTAAATTAGAATTAAGAGTAGAAGAATCTAGAGAGGAACTCTACAAGGGAATAGTTTTATCTTGTGCGGAGAACAATTCACCGGGCAGTCGGGAAGGATATTCACGACCCGGGAAGCATAATTCTCAAATGCATATTGGTACTGCAAACCGAGGAAGAGGTTTCGAATATGGACGAATGGGCTTCTGCTGCTGTTGTGTCGTTAAACCATTGAAAGATGCTGTTCATATTTCTTTTTCACGTCTGTTTCACTTTATCCGAGGAATTCCGTCTTATAATCAAGGTTCACTAAGTCTCTTTAATAAATGATATTCTGCTATATTAGAACTCTTCAGTAGCCTTTGGTGGTCAGACGCAGATCGTATTTTATGTACAGAATCTTCGAAAATGGATGTTGGGATGACATAAAATACCTGAGAAATAAGATTCCATGAAATGGACGGAAATACTTTCATTAAATAAGCTACTGAAAACAGTTACCTACATGTTTTTATTGGGCACGCGAAGCCTCCGTGTGTCACAAACTCTTGCCATGCATAGGTTAAATCCCTATAGAATTCAACTGTTGCATTCAATTGAATCGTAAAATAACGAGATTATTACTTACGCGTTTAGCACAGTATAAATACTTTGCTTGCTAGAATAATAGCTTGTAATAATCTTCAATCGGAAAGACAACAAGCATGCTATTGTTCTTAAGCTACTGTTTGTGCGCTTTCTGGAAAAGAAAATCTATCAACTGTTCATCACGACCAAAAGCCTGGAGTGCTTGGAAAGCGACGTTATTTAAATAGATCTTGTTGAGTTACGTGAGAATATAAGGTCCTTGAAGCAAATACATTGGGACCATGTGTTGCAATAAGTGAACAGCAGTGAATACATTTAAAAGCTGTGCCACACACATTATATAAGTATTTACACAAATTTCAAAGAAACACGTACTGTGCTAGATATTACAGGAATTTTTTATCGAATACACACAAACGTCAGAATAATAATTTACAGAACGTTTTACATTATATTTACAAGATGGTAGTTTAGACTAAGTGAAACATAAACTGCGTTTTACAAAGCGTATATGAATATGTTGGTGATTTAAAAATGTGAATAAATAAATGATATGATAAAGATTAAACAGTATAAGAACTAAGACAAGCAATGCACTACGCAGAACACAGTTCTAAGTTAGAGGTATTATGCTATATGAAAGGCTTAAAGTAGACATACAGATTTATTTTTAATTCTTCTTCCTGGATGAACCCACTTTCCTCATAAACCAGTTGCGTAATTTATCATACTTAGAACTAAAAGAATCTGTGTGTTACACATGAACACATCTGCTATTCTTCTTTTAAGTTCTAGTGAAGTTAGCATACAATTAGACATTTTTGAGACCTCTTTGCTCCCTCAAATCGAGTAAATGGAAACGCCAGACTCTGAAAAGAAGATCGTCATTCAAAATGATGCAGTACAGTTCTATTTTGCGAATCTTCATCGAGATGAACTGGATCTTTAATTTTTAATATTGGCAGAAATGGACCAATATCGTGGCCTGCAAAAAGGCTTGATTTTACTCTATTGCGTATCTGCCTCTGGGGCTTTGTCATAAATGAAGTCTACAGTAAAAGAATCACGTTTTCGTATTTCCTGACACATAAAAGCAAAATGGAGACGTTAATGCGGGAAAGGTACATTTGTTTTAGTCACGTTAGTCTGAGTTCCGAAAATGCAACATTTTGTAACCAAGATTTTCTCCTTAATGTAGATAGATAACGGTGAACTAGTCTAAATAGTCTAAAGTAAAAAAAATGTCATAATGCAAAAAATAAAAATTACAAGCAAATTATTGCTGATAAGTAGAGGGGTTCGGAGAAAGATTGATGGGATTTAATTTGTTCTATGTGAAGTATGTATTGCTAGAAACTGATCGTAATAAACTTTTGCTAATTTAAATTACTTAAAAAGATTAGTTGAAAAATGAATAAGTTTTTATATGTGCACCATTAACTAGCTCGGCAGACGACAGCTTCATTCACTTTTGTTCACACTCAGGCAAGAACGTCTGGAGTAAATTTGTAATTGCTTGAAAAGAACTTGTTTGCA